TAAATTAACTAATTTTACTGCGGATCATCCACTTTTCAGAATATATATTATAATATTATCGATATTTTGCCGCTGATATCCTGGAAACGACATAACAACACATAACGTTTTTCATAATAATAACGRTTAATAAAACTGTAATGTTGTTATTAACGAATGTAATTTATTTATTTATTATCAACAGGACGAGGAAAATGCAGTCGTCGACTCTGGCGCAACCATCGTCTCATCCGCCGTCATCATCGTCGGACAACTATGCTGCTACACGACGATCAATTCGGTCCGAGTGATAGGCACTGGCCAGTGTTTTTAGCCTGCGACAAAAACTAACAGTCGCTGGGAAGCCTATCTTTTTAAATAATATCGCGAGAGTCATCTCGTTTCATTTTTGTTTTTGACGGGACACGCGGTTTCCGACTACCTTATCACCCCACACGAACCGTAACCCGACCGGCCCACCCTACTCCGTCGTCAATCGCTTCGGTGTTTTATTTTTCGGGTGCGCCGCGCACCGGCGCTGGAGAATCGCGTGCGGGCGCTACGATTCCCCTGTGACGCGTCGCTCAACAAGATGTACGCCGCCGCCTACGTCGCCGCAGTCAAAACGGCCGTCGCCGCCACCGCCACCGCCGCCGCCGCCGCTGTCGTCACAACAAACGTCGTCATTGCCACTGCCGGCACCGCCGCCACAGCAGTAACAATCGCCGCAGTCGAGTGTCGTCGGAGGAGTTCAGCGTCACGCGTTCTCCTCGGTTCGCGATGAACGGCGGCGCAGTCGCTGCGTGCGTGCCATGTGACGCGTGATCCGGCCGCGCGGTAGTTCGCCAGAATATAACAATACAATACTGTGCTATTAATTCGGTATACACGCGACCGGTTGAAATTATTTATTTTTTTCGTTGCGCTTTACAAGAGTAACACGGACAGTGAGAGCTACTTGTACGACAATAATAACATTATTCCTACCTGACCTAAGGGTAGGCTTATTTTATATTATTGTTTTATTTACTACCGTTATCGCGTTCCGACCGAAAACTAAGGTCCTGGACGTGTCTTGAACGGACGACGTGGTGCAGCTCACCGCTCTTATATTCAGTGTTGTCGACGGACAGATGAAGTACAAACGACCTTTGCTCAAAAAATGCCGTCCATGAACGGGTGGTGGATCGCTTTCGTATGGCTGTGGTCGCTGTCCGTCACGACCGCGGCCGTCGAGGAGAAGATTTGTGGCAACATCGACGTGCGCAACAACGGCGAACACTTTTCCTTGTTGCACAACTGCACCATCGTTAATGGTTACGTTCAGATCGTGCTGCTAGACGCCACCAAACCGTCCGACTTCGACATCAGTTTCCCGCTGTTGCGCGAGATCACTCAGTACCTGGTCGTGTACCGYGTGGCCGGCCTGTACAACCTGGGAAAGCTGTTCCCGAATCTAATGCTGATCCGAGGCTCTCACAGTCCTCATTTCCCGGGACTGGCGCTCATGATCCATGACAACATCGACCTGAGAGAGATCGGACTGTACAGCTTGACCAACATCACGCGGGGTTCCGTGATCATTTCGAAAAATCCCAGTGAGTCGCCGTTCCCATTTTATAATTAAATAAATAAATTACGTTAAACTGCACAATTGTAGGTGTCCACATAATATTATATACTAAAGGGTTACACGGTACCATCTATCGGTATCCCAGTATTATGGTTTTCTGGTTTGTATTGATATTAGGGTAGGTATACCATGTTCTATACCAAGSGTGGGCCACACCRAGGTTCGTGAGCCGCATCCGGCTCTTGAGTCAGTCTCATGCGCCTCTTGACACAGACCTTAAAGTAAAATTAATATAATATAAAAAGCACTTCTCAAACTAAAAGTCTCATTCCTTGATATGAATCTAAATAGTTATAGTTTGTGTAGTGAAAAATTAATGTTCCTTAATTTTTTATATAATAAAAAATCTACATTAATTTTATAAACATATATCTTAACAACGTTGTTCGCTTCGAATTAGCTTCATAATTTGAGACTCCCGAAATTAAAAGTTTAGTGGCCATCCCTGTTCT